CAGACAGCCAGGCGCAGTCTTGCAACGCTTGCACTTCACCATCTATTCAACAAAGACTTCAACAAGTCCCTGTAGCTCCACGGAAGGCAGCTATACAGCCATATTCAACCAGCTGAGAGCATCCCTCTGGATTCCATTTTGGGGAAGATAAGCTCATTTACAAAATAAGGCAGAAAAAGCAAACGAAAAAAATAAGTGTGAATTAAATAATATGACTTTGGTGCAAACATGTAGATCAACTGTTTGCTTTTCCATAGGATGCAGAGCCATCCTTGTAACACGGTAAGAATCATTGCAAGTTCACTGCCAAAAACTAAAAAATCATCGAATATAGGCGGTTTCTTGTATCCAAAGTCCCTCATTATATTAAAAAAATTATCGCAGCAGAAAATTTACAAGTGCATCACAGGACCCACTTGTACTGTTAAACAGATGGCACCTACACAAGACCCAAAAATATATAACAATTTTAATTGAGCCAATGCGAAACAGATTTGTGAAATAAAATAGTACATGCCAGGTCTAATAAGGCTTTTACTAGAAATTTTGACATAAAGTAATTTTGTAACAGCACAAGAGGTATTTAGAAAATGCTCATTAGCAAATGTTACATTTACTTCTCACTTACTGTAATCTCTTAAGTTCTTGATCAGTTCCTACCTGCTTCACTTTTTTCCTCTCTTGGTATAAACTGTCCATCTCTTGGTGACTTCAGATGTTTACCATTTTAATGGTATCACTGTCAAACTCAGCTCCTTGGGCTGGATCCTTTTCCTCCTTGCTGAAAACAACAGTAAAACCCACAACCCCCTCTAACAGCCTCATGAAAGGACGTGTTTCTGTCTTGTAATGCTGAAGCTCAGCTTCTACCACAGATAACCCCATTATTATTCCATTCTACTGATAGTGTTGAACAGGCCGAAAGTTTGGACTCCAGAGGACCATTTACCCTTTCTGTGGCACCCACCAGCAAGCAGATTACTCTTTGAAAAAGAAACCTCTGTGTAGCTGCAGGCTGCTGTCAAAGCTGCTGGCTGTGGAGCCTGTTGCTGGCTGTCCTTGTTCCTGCACAGGTTCAGGACTTCCTTCAGGACTGCCTGTGAACGTGTGTACATATCAATGTGGGGCTGACAGGATGCACCGCTGCCTTCTGCCCTCACATTCAAGTCGCATTACTCTAACGTCGTGCTCCTCCCAGTTTTCTTGGGAGATCCTCTGGGCCTTGTCGTGCTTCCCAATCCACAGTGGCCACAGGACGGAGAAGTCTGCCGTGCTTTTGCACCACCAGCACTGCTGGATTAGCTACCAGGCTGTAGGCACGTGCTTGCTGCAGGGCGCCCCGGGACACCCTTACCCCTGCTTGGGAGATGCGACACCTTCAGCAGCGTGTGAGGCACAAGTGGGAGCAGTCAGAGTCAGGCCCTGCCTCCCAACATCGTGGTTTTAGCCTCCAAAATTCTCGTCAGAGGCTCCTCTTGTGAGCAAGAAGTTCCAGTGAGCTAAAATCTGAAGACAGATGGTGATGGCACCTTTGCTGCTTCCCAATGAGCTAGAAAAAAGAAAACTGTTCTGCAGAAGACCAATGTTATTTTAGCTGTGAGGTAGCAGTCAATAACCGCAGGAGAAAATGTGCATTTTTCCCACCTGGAAAAACGTAATTGATAGCACTCGGTTTCTTTACCCTTCCCTGCAGATTAAATGGAGATGAATAAAAGAGATACTTCTCCAGCTGCAGGAGGATTATGTTTTGTCTGAAGTGACAGAACACGAAATCCTCGAGTCCTTTTCCACGTGCAGGGAGGAAAAGTGAAAGGTAAAACCTACCCTACCGGTGGCTTCCACTTGTTTTTTTAATACGTCAACATGATTTGAATTGTAAAGACATGCTTAAAAGTGAAAACAATGAGCAGTGCAGTCTTATGTCACCACTAATTTCGAAGAGACCGGATAACTGTGTGTTCATAGTCTATCAAAATTATGGGTAAGGGACATAAACATGACTTGCATGAGGTGCCGTTTACCGAGACCGTTAAAAATAATGTTATTTTTTGCCTTTAAAACAGGAAGAAAAAAAAAAAAAGAGAGAGAGCCAGGATTGCATCCACAATGCATACGTGTTAGGACATTTGAATGTGATGACGTTAAGTAAATATCAATACAGAAAATACAGAGTTGTGATGTCGCATTAAGGGCAATTAGATGAGGAGAAATGCGGCATGGTGATTTCCTGCAGGAAAAATACCAGCATGAATTTTTACCAGGCAGCCCAGGTTTTCATGCAGTGTTTGAGACTCAGAATGAACCTGCATCGCGGCTCTTAAGAAAATTCCCTCACCTTACCCCTTACAAAGATCAGCCTGACCTGTCTCCCTTTGTTTAAGCCCAGCGGATTAATGTTTGATGAAAGCTGTAGTTCTCAAATTAAAAGCTGATTAAAACGGAACACTTAAAATTCATTTTCATTTTATTTCATATTAACTCCAGCCAATTAAATTCCCCTGTTATCAGAATGTATAAAATAAAAACAGTCCTGTCATGTTTAGGATATTCTGCTGTCCCCGGTACTGTTTTCATTGATATAAATTCTGCTTTCTCTCAGTTGTAACGGAGCTCCTGAAGGCTGGCTGCTGGTATTTCTATGCATTTTGCACATTGCTCTTCAGGAAAAAATATTTCAGCAACGTGTCGTTCTTCTTGGTGATATTCTTACATGTGGCAGGGTGTGCGTTCTCTCTCTTAGTGTGGTCAAGTTAAAAGGAGCACCTATAAATCTTTTAAAAAATCAGAGATTATTATAGAGTGCTGCTTATGCCTCATGGAGACCCAGTTTTGTTTTAACAGCTTGCCTGTGAATAGCACTCCTAGACATGTAGGATTACCAGGGAATCTAGCACGAAGACAGTGAAACCAACTTTCTGTTTTCCTAACATTACAGATTTTTTCCTGTTGCCTGATACTGCGTCTGAAACAGGTTTCAATATAGCTGGTGGCATCTATGGGAGAATCTATTTGGATGTTCTCACTGCCTGGAATTGGCACTTCCTATCCCCCAATAGCTGTGCCTCATGTTGTACATCCACGGTATGTTTTCTTTGTGAGCAAGGTGCGTGCCATTTACAGAGCTGATCCTGAGGCAGAACTTGTATCTCAGCAATAACAAAACAAATGAATGCCCAGTGGATCGTTTATTTATTTATTTATTTATTTTAAGAGTTATTCTTTGCTTGTTAATCTTCATGTTTACAACGTAAAACAGGCACGCGTGCTGTTTTGCAAGGTAGAGTGCGTGTTTTGTACCCCGTTCTCTATAGAGGAGACCAAGCCAGGATGTCCCGAGTACTGGCAAGAGGAAGCAAACAGTAGCGTGGCACGTAGGGAACACATGGGCATCTCCAAAACCTGCCTTGGAATGGCAGCCTTACAGACTGGTTGCTGGGGCCACCTGATAGAAATGGGAACAAGGAGCTCATGTTCCTGGAAAACCACGTTCCTTCCTGGGAAGGGATGCTCTGAATATGTGTTCTTTCTCCCCAAATTTTCTAACACCTCAAGTCTCCCAAACCAGTTTAACACAGGTGTGAAGGTTCACACCACCCACTCACTGCCCGTAGTTGCTGTCCATGTGTATTTTGAGGGTCACCTTGACATAAAAATAGGATACTGGAGCAACAGTCGGCATCTTCTTGAAGCATTGTTTATGCATACTTCTAAGGAGAAGGTTTTCAGGATTACCCATGCTAATTTATCTTTTCAAGACACTATTAGGTTTGGTTAGGCAGGCTCAAATAGACAGAAAAGCCATTATCAGGATACGGTCTTTTTGTAAGGAGGTAGCCAAGGTGTGAAACAGAACAAGGGACGCACTGCATTAAACCTACCGATTATGTTTTTCTCAAGCATTTTAAGCTATCGCGCCAGATAAGTCTTACTTTGTGTCAGTTTGAATCAGTGGATTTTAAACCATTATTACCCTGTGCCATTTGCCCCCACCCCAGATTATTTGTGACAGATATTCTGCACTGTATAATAATGAAACTCTAAGGGTATCATCTTCAGCTAAATGGAAAGTGTAACATAGTGTAATATCATGCCAATTAGAAGGGAAAATCATTGTAGATACCTGAAATACGTTTTTGCTTGGTATCAGCCATTCTGTGAAAAATTGCACATTCCACAGTTTCTAATGAATATGGATAGACAGCTATAGAGGACAAAAGACTATGAGTGGATTTACATTTCTGTGGCTCTGTTTGTTACAAATATTCTCTGAGAGACAACAGATACATGTGAGGAAAAAAATCCTCTTCATCTGCATGTTTCCCTGTTATGCAACGCACTGCTCAAAATGCAAGCTGAAAATTCCAGAGTTAACTCAAAGGAAGTGTAGCATTTACATAAAACATGGAGGAAAAATGAGTAAAAGTGAGCAGAGGTGTTCATAACTTTGTCTGATGAGATCAGTGTTTCTGCCTGGACTGCTACAGCATTGTGAGGAATGATGTGGAATGCCTCGTGTCCTAGCAAACCTACTCAGTTTGGGTTCTCCATCTCAGGTTTGGCTGGAGGAGACACAGAGGTTTAGTCAGTAGCTTGATTGAAACCAAGGACTTGTTGATGGGTGGGCTTCATGGGTAAAATCAGCTTCTGTTACCCCGCTGTGCTAGACCGTCCCCAACCAACGGCCATTGGTACCAGAGCTGCAGCTGCCCTAGGTGCAGTAGCGGCGAGCCATCTCTGCAGGTGCTTAATCGCTCTGCTTCCATCACTGATGCTGCATGCTGTACGTACCGGTGTCTGAGGCGTCTTAAATGCTTGTGGGACAGGCAGCAGCCCCCGCGTTGGGCTGCCACTGGCTTTCTGGCACGCCATGCGATGCCGCAAGATGGTGGTCTGTCTGCTGCAGCTGGGGTCAGGGGTGGCTGTGCAGCTGGCAAAGTGGAGGTGTAATTTGTGGAGAGGACGCGGGACTAGGGGGGAGAAGAAGAAGAAATGATCGCAAACTTAGGTAATCGTTTTATTCATAGCATAATGTGCACACATGGCTGTTGATGATGAGGCTACCAGTGACATAAATAAACTCAAGCAAAAGATGTAAGCAAGTGGATACATGTGTAGGCTTCTTTGGGCGGTGCCACGAACTTGGACATCGACCAACAGAATTATTTATGTCCCTTGCAATTTCAGTGAAGAGCACAAAGGAGATAATTAGACCAGGATGCATCGCATTGCTCTTTCCATCTTGCACACATTCATGCCCACCAAATGTGATATGTTCGCCTTTTCCCCTCAAACGTGATGGTTGTTGAACTTATTTTTAGTGTCATTTGATAAGCCTCCCTGCTCGCAGAGAGACATCCCACTGACCCAGCCACTGGTCATTGTCTATACCAGTTCCCATCAAAGCAGGCGCGCTTTGTCAGGTTTCGACTCGAATATCCATTTTGCATCTGAAGTACAGTATCGAAAGTGACTGGATCATTTGAGCCTTTTTCTTCAGCTGCTCCCTCCTTCCTCCCCCACAGTGTTTCCGCTCACGCTAACATAATTTGGCATCGTCGACGTGACACGACACTGGTTTTTCTAAAAAATTATAATACATACATTGTCAATGTTTTGTGATGGCCGGCGCTCCTGTAAATTTAATTTCTAAATTGATGGAAGGAGGTCTTTTTCCACTGCTGAATCTCAACCAATGCTCGGTGCCCCCTTGAAAACCGAGTAATGCACATACAGTAATAGGTCATTCAATGTCAAAAGGCATAAAAAAGATGAGCAAAATCTTCACAGGCTGCTGCTTGCTGTTGCCTTTAATTATATTAATTAAACTTTGAAATTCTCATGCAAAGAGAGTTGCTGGCTTGTGACGCTGAAGAGCCCTTGGAGATTCGGGGGGAGAAAAACCCTGAGATACCAGCTTAGTGGCTACTGCTTTTTTAATTTTTAAAAAAATAATACATAAGCCTACTACTGCTAGGTATGTTTATAGATGATGATGTTTTATGCGCTACTGAACTTCGAATGCAGGAAGGGGAAAAAAAACACCAGCCACAGTGTCAAGGTCTTGAAGCATCAGTCCCTCCAACTCCGCTCAAGATCTCTGGTTACAGGCTGTCTTCCCATGGAATAACGCTCTATTAATTTTCTTCCTGTCCCGGGTGCATAATGAAAGAAAGGTGTCTTCAAAAACTAAAGGGCAAAGTCTTGCTTGCTACCAATACCTTGAGGCATCCTGTCTACATTTTGTCATGCGTGTGCACTTTTCAGTGTTAGAATGACAAGATTTCCAGTCAGAAGGTTCCCGTAAGGCACAATGCGATGGGAGACTCGGAAGGGTTTTGTGATCTGACATCGCTGTAAGGCAGTGAACTCTTGCGTTTGCTTAGCCTGGTGGGAAGCTTTATCCTCCGCCTTTGGCAAGCAGTCCCTATTTACATAACACGTGCCATCCTCGCATCTGAGAAACTGCATCTCTGCTAAAAGCACATTATGTCCTGAGAATCTGTAGTCCTTAAAAAAATAACAAAAGTAAAAAAAAAAAAACATTATTATCTTTGGTTGTCTGTGTTCTCCCTTTGTGTTCTACGAAAGCAGAGGCATGCAAGTCAATGCTGCTTGTCACTGTCGCAAGTCACGGAGCGGGAGTGCACGGTGGTGAAACATAAGAGCTTGGCACAGCAATGCTGGCTCCTGGAAGGGGGGAATGCAGAAACCTTCTGAGTTGAGGCTTCGTCCAAGAAACACGGGGCAGTGCTCAGTTCTCTCTGCTTGGTCGAAAAGTGGCAATGTGGCTGTATTTCCTCCTTGTATCCTCTTCTCCTCCTCTACTGAGATTGAACTCGGGTGAAGTTAATACATCGGCCCTGGAGGGAAAAAGAGAGAAGCTGTTATTGGTGGGTGAAGTAATGAATGCAACCAAGACTTTCAAATGCTGAATATTACATGCTGTAGGAAGGCTGTAATTTAAATTCAGATATTTGTGAAGATAACATACCCATGAAAACCATTTTAAGAATTAATGGAAATTACCCAGAGTAAGTGTACTACATTTGACTTAGAAATTTAGGTTGTTAGGTAAGCAGTGATGACGCAGAAGACACACTTTGAATGCTCTGAGGTCTTCTCTGAGGATAATTTACCGATCTGAAATTCTCAGAAACTTCTGGGAGCAAAATAAAACCTATCTAAACACACAGTAAAGGAAGATCATAGTGAAGACAGATTCTCACTCCACCGAGCCAAATCCTCACGCAGCACAGTGCAGATAAACGTGACTTGGTTAGCGGAGCAGCTGCTGACTTGCACTTGCGTTTTATTAGCAGTAACCCCAGCTCTGCACCTCCAAGGTGTCTTCTGATGAGCTTACCATCGCTGTGCACCAGTTCTCATGGTGTCATACCTCAGTAAATACCCTTCTCCTGTAAGTGGGTCCTTACGGGTGACAGCTTTTGGTGTAGCTGGATGTGAGTCAAATCCCCTAGCGAAGCTCATAACCCCTTTTTACTGATTTGAGAAGCACTGAAAAAATGCCCATTCGCAGAACTTAGTTCAAGACCCGAGCTCCACACTGATCATTGGTTTCTGAACTCAGGAGTGCTTTCAGCAGAACAGCTCCTGACTTGGGCAGCCTTTCTGGGCACTGCACCTTTTCTTTCCATGATGGACAAGGACAGCCTGTATTGGTCGCGCCTTTGGCCGGGGCGTCTCCATGCAGAGGAAGTCATTCTCCAAGGCACGTGCAAGTATTACACACTGCCTGAAGGAGCACGCGGAAGGATTAGCAAAGACCTACTGAATGTTTTGTCATTAATTTGTCAATAATTACAAAGTCTCTCATTGGGGTAGGCTGCACAGCACCGAGTCAGGCATTGGTGGTCAGTAAGGAGCGTAGGAGGTGGCTTGCCCAGCCGAGGCACCGCTCCTTGCTCGCACCTCCATGGTGCCGCTCGCTGCAGGAGCTGGGTGCCCATCTCACACAGGGGTCCTGAACCAGTGCTCCCCTTCTCTGCCAGCCTGCTGCACCTCTCTGCTGTGGGAGACATTTGCAAAGGCACACAGGTGTGCAGGTCTCATGGAGGTGAGAGGGATCTTACTTGGAAGTCTCCTCAGCTAATTGATGGTGGTGGTTTTTTGTTTTTGTGAAAATTAGGAGAATAGGAAAAAAGCTGGGGATATTTTTCTTTCTCTGTTCCTTTCATTTCCTACTTGATGACTTCCAGTAAACTGTGGTGCCTATGAGACAGCTTCTAAGGGACCTTTAAAAGATGATGCCAATCAAACTGTGCTAGTTTTGCAGTATGGAGCCATGCTTATTTCTTGAATCCTATTTAATGATGCATATTTTGGGGAAAAATTACTACTTTCTTTTTAAACACAGGAGATTATGGCATAATCAAACAAAATTAGGCCTGAATTTCATACTACTTCATGTATTTATTTTGAGCTAGATGTTTTATTGGTACCAGCGGAGGACAATTACACACAAGTGCTGTTTGGTATTAATCAGGTCTCAGTTGGCACCTGCCCTTGACTGGTATGGAGGGGGCAGCGTTTTCTAGATGGACTGCAGGACTCCATGCACAGTGCAGGACAGGACAAGGATTTTTTTTTCCTAATGCCCTTCTAATAATCCTACTTCCTATCAACTGCATGATAAATACAGAAGTGGTGAGTAGTTAGGCTGGGTAATTGCGGTAACTTCTAGCTGCTACCATCTGGATTACAAATGCAGAAGAGAAGCAAAGAGATAAACCCGGAGCACTGAAAGATTCCATTAAAGGCAAAGTAAAAAGGGATGGTGCATCTTTATGGGCCTTTACATTTATCTTTTTCAAATTAAGCATATCAAAATGAATTCTGCGGTAGAAGCAAAGTATTTTTGGAGGATAAAATCCACAAATGCTTTGCAACTCAAGCACTTCTGACGACAAAGCGAACATTAAATATACACTGACAACAAGGACTTTTCTTCTGAGTTGATACCATAATGCAAAAGCAAGACACTTCAGAACACCTTTAGAAACCAGGTAATGGGGGAGTTGCAGTATTTCTCCCATACTGTAAATTAACATTGCAATTTACCTGTCAGTGCAAATGTTCTGCTTTCATTTGTAGCTTTCTCACAGTTCTTTGAACATAGTTACCAGTGCATGACTTTATTTCAATTTGGGGCAAATGATTTGAGGATTAATCATTTTGGTTTTGCATTTATCTTTTGATTAGAAGGCATTTGAGTGGCTCAACACTTTACCTGAGGTCTGCAATCATCACTGAAGGAAAAATATGTTTTTCGAGACCTGGCTGCGTGACGTGGTTAAGTGCAGTGTGTTAAGAGGAGCTGGGTGGTTTTCCAGTTCATTAAAATGGCATTCATGAACTATATAACAAATACCACTAACGGGGCATTAAATTAGCCCTTTAATTCCAGGGAATTAAAGAACCACATAAAGAAAAACAGGGAGAACTTGTACCTTGCAATCTTGTTACCAACACTCTCTTGTACACACATGTTCTCTGCCAGCCTCTAGTCAGGGTTATAAGGTTTTTGGAAGAAGCTCTTGTCATGTGTTTGTTTTTTTAACCAAAGGTTGAGTCACTGCCAGTCTGAACCCACCTGTAGGCATTGTTAGTATGTTTGATGTATGATCAGATCGTTCTTACGTGTGTGAGTGTCTGTTCTAGCAGCCTGGACTACTCTCTTACTTAAGGGGACTGGAGGATGAGGAATTTCTAATGAAAGCAAGGCCTCCTGTTTAAGATGTCATTTTTTTTGTACATAAATGTGATGCTCGCAGAAGACAGAGCTGAAATCAGGATGTTGGGAAACATGCTGAAAGCGCTAATTAATGAGAAGGTCAGGACCACTGTAGTGTCATTAACGGAACAGCAAATATTGCATGCCAGTATAGCAGAGAACAGCTTTTGCGTTTAGGTAATGGGATGTGACAAGGTGCGTGGCTTCACAGTACCTACACATGAAATGCATTAAAAACTAGCATTCAAGCCAATGTAAAGGGCTTTGAGCTCTCATCACACATGCAATTTAACACACTAACTTGCACAATTACCATATATACCTTTAATGTTATCTTAGCAAAAATAGAAAGATGTGTATCAGTAAGCCTTTTTCTGGCTCTCAGCTTGCCACAGTTTGATTCATGTCCATATTTATTTCCATTAAATGCTGGCCTAGAGACTGTTTTCTTTCAGGAGGGACAGAAAAGATCCCTAAATAGAAAATAAGCAATTGGCATTACTGCTCCTCGCTTACTTCCTTCCCATCATCTCTATCCCCAGCCTCCTTACTGGAGGAGTCATGGGGGAGAAAGGAGGAGAAGAAAAAAAAGAAAAGGAAACTGGTCAGCCAGACTCTTAATCATGTAACCCATCTCAAGGGCAGATCTCAAGACCTGCATACTCTACAAATCTGGCCTGGAGATTCGCCCCAAGCAAAGACCCTGGTGCAATGTTGTTCTTTGAGATGTGGTGGAATGTGGCAAGCAGAGGAAGGTATTTAGTTCTGATTGAGCCGCTCTCAATTATAGATGAGCAAACTGATGAAGATAAAAGACTAATGTTTAACTCTGTTAAGGATTCATCACTCTAAGCCTGTAGGTTTTCATCAACTGCAAATCAGGGTGCATGTGATATAACCAGCATCGCTGTCTTTGTGCAAGTTGGTTTGGGGAAAAAGATTCATACTCGTGGAAGGTGTTTCTCTAATCAAATTCAGAACTCCCTATGTAGTGGTATCTATTTCAGCTTTTAGTAACAGAATATTGAATTTCTATTCTGTTTAATCTGAACTTTACAAAAAGTACTATTTATATCACTAGAAGTGCTATTTACTAAACAGTAGATTTATCTGTCTATTTTTGGCCTTCAGAATTAAAACATGTTTGTTCTATGTAACTAATAAAACCTGTGAATTACCATCCTAGCGTTACCATGGTCAGACAGTTTGGTGACTTAATGTTACACTCATGTCCCCGTACTCAATTAAACAATCAATACAACCAATTTGAATTCAGATGTATCATGCCTTGTAAATCACTGGATCATAAACCTTAACAATACCAACATGTCGTCAGTATAAAATTGAACTAAATTAGTATTTTAGGGCTACGCTAATTAAAAAATGAGTTATGCAAGCATTCTGTGATCTTTGTATGGAATATGGGGTTATATCAATGCACCAGATTCAGCAGAAAAGAAAACCCTTAAGTATGAAATGTTTGAAGATGCACTGCAGGATCCACAGGAGAAGAATATGGTAAGTATTTTAGTTGAAAAATAGATAGAGAAAAATCTACAGCTCAGGTTTTTATAGAAGAAGGAATATTTTTATGTTACGCTGAAGTCATTTATTACATTGTTGATTATCTTATAGAATTTAACTTACTGAGCAACCAGGATAAATTAAATGCCTTGCAGGGCACCCAATATTAAAGGAAGGGGATGCTCCTAGTACACTGCAGGATAGATTCTCATGTGGCAGTGAAAAAAAAAAGTCCAAGAGGTGTCTGCCGAAATGGCTGTGCTTCCTCCAGCTCTGTGACCTGCGAGCCTGTACAGCCCTGCTGGAGCAGTGCACTCAGCATTTGGAGGAGGATGCCTTTTGGACTGTGCTGTGCTACGAGCCTGGAACTCATCTGTTGATGTTGGCTAGATAGGTATGAGAAGCACTTTAATTTGTATGTGTGCATGTGTGAGCAAACATGCGCTGCTTTCCAACCATCTGTAACCCAACGCTGGGCTCTTTGGTGGCGGAAGTTGAGGAAACTTTACAGGCTCCTCTGGAGCTGTGCCCACTTCCTGCACTGCCAGGGCTGGCCCTCCACGTTCCCAGCGCTCTGTGGATATT